ATATAGTATTTATTGTTCTATGAGCATAATAAAGATTTTAATGGGAAAATCTTGCTAAGTTGGAAAATGGCAACTGTCTCTATTTATATGATATTTCTGAATACCTATAAAAAGGTTTTATTGCTGTTCATTACAAAAGCCTCCAAACCAAAAATGCCACACTATGTCATTTTAGTTGACTAATGACTTAGTACATTTTATAGTTTAAGAAATGACAAAACGTCACTATGGTGATGAACCAGGGGATAACTCCTCAAAAGTTATGGCAAATACTTTTCATTACAGTGGATATTATACAAAAAATTCTATACCTAAGCTCTTTATTTTGGCTCTTTCAATTATGCAATCACTGCACCTCTACGGCAACACCAAGAAAACAAGTTTACTTCTTGGCACAAGATTATAATGTGTATAATACCATGCCGACCCAAGTCAAATGCAAACAATGAACTAAAAAGCCAAAGGCATTGCATACACATTCATAGAATTTCTAAGAATTTTTAAGGTTTAGCCAAATACACTTGCAAAAAATGAGCGAAAGAAAAAAAAGCCTTCTGCTACAAAGTCAATAAACATATTAAATGCTAACAAGGTTTGAGAAACAGTGCTGGCAACAGGTGATACAAACATAAAAACCATCTCAATATCTGCCATCTCAAAGAGCCTACAATCTATAAAGGAGACTCAAGACACATAAATATGTGTAATAGAATACAAAATGACAGGGCCAATGGAGAGTTCCAAACAAAGTGCTCCAGGAAATTTTGAGAAAGGAGAGAACACATATAGCTGGGGGAAATCAGAGTGGGCTCCAAAGAAGTGGCCTCTAACTGAGCTTTGAAGGAAGAGAGGCACTTCGACAGGCATCAACAAGGACGAATGCATCCTAGGCATGAAGTATGTGGCCTGTACAAATGTCAAGATGCAAGAAATTGCAGGTTGAGGCTGGGGAACAGCTCTTAGGCCAATTGGGCTAGAATACAGAACACATGGGGAAATAAATGAAACCGAAATAAACTAAAGCCAAACTCTAACCAAGAGCTAATCTTGAACTCAGAGTTAAACTTTTTTAGAAGGTCCAAAAAATGCTAGACCAAGGTGTATATTGTCTAGTAAGTCACAGGGAGCCACTAAGGTCAGGATTATAAACATTAGAGAATTGCTATAGCAACTTTTTTTGCCCCTAGACCTCATAAGTAGTATATAGGTATGACACAACAAATATTTATTAAGCACTTGCTTATGCAAAGAATCCTTAAAGTACATTTAGTCTAAGACCCTCTTGTTACAAGTGAGGAAAATGAGGCCTAGGCAAGTAAGGTACAAAAGCTTACAAGGTAAGTATCAGTCAAAACGAAAAGCCAAGTACCTAGGTTCATAGTCCACTGCTCTTTCAACATCATTCTGCTTCCTACATGGTCTAAGTATGAGAAACACAGCTCCACATATAGCAGTTTAGACCTAATGGGGCCCTAGAAATAGCTATAGGTAGATACACAACTAAGGGCTCAGTACACCCAAATGGGGCAGTGGCCCCAACTAGTGCAGTACAGTTAATCCTCTGTATTAAGGTTTGTGTGAATGTAAAATATAAGGGAAAATGAGTACACAGCAGAGGCTCAATTTAAGTATAGATAAAAAACAAGTGACACAAAAGTAAGTCAAAGTAAGAAGACGCTAGAGCCAAGGTATATATTAAGAATAATGGGAGAGTAGGTGGCTAAGATGTGTGAGGTGTACAATAGGAGCAGAGTGCTATCTACTTCAATACTTCAAGTATCATTATTGTATAGACCTTATCTCTACCAATTCAGACTACAATAACCTCGAAATCTTAGCGAACTGTCTTGATGCTTTACTGTGGCCAAAAAAGGTAATTATGTAGCAGCATACCCTTTGACATCAAAGGGCAAGCTACTACATAATTAAATGACTATATAACCATATTCTGAATACATATAGATATGATGGAATTAGTCTTGTTTCCAGAGAAAATAGACAAATTAAGTCTTCCCATGTTTCTCTGAATTCTACATATGCATCATTTCTTACAGCACAGTAATTTGTTTAGCCTTTCCCCAATCAATATACATCTTTCAAGTTCTTTGCTACCACAAAACACATTGCTATGAATATGCTGTTGTACATGATATGATGATAAACTTCATCCAATTCAGCTAGGCTGACACTCAGAAAATAAATACACAGAACATGAGCTATACCTTCTCTCTTAGTTGGACCTTTCAAAACTTCCATCCAACTAGTATAGCAAGCATCCTATAGGTTAGTTCAGCATCTTCCCTCCTTTCTGTTAAGGTTGTAAATACAGGAAGGAGAAATTAATCAGAGAATTATTTTATAGCTAGCAGTTATCTCTGACTTAAAAGAATCTTAGAGATGAAATAAACATGAGGGGAGATCTCCTGGTCCAACCCATTCCTGAAGAATCTACTCTACAGCATTCCTGACAAGTGGTCATCCACACTCTACTTTAAAACCTTGTAGGGATGAATAGCCACTATCACCCAACAGTCTACTTTTGGACAGCTCTAAGTTTTAATAAGTTTTTCCTTACACTGAGCTAAAATCTGCCTCTCTACTCCAAGTCTTGCCCTCAAGGGCACCAAACAAAACTCTTCCATAAGTGAGTCCTTCAAATGCTTAAAAAAAAAAACCTCTCATGACCTCCTCTTTCCCATCCATATCTTCTCTTCTCCAGACCAAACATTTTTAGTTCCTTCCATGGAAATCTCCTGACTTCATTCTAGTAGTATTTGCTACTACAATGTGGTTCACAGTACCTCCGAGAATATTCCATCTTTCACCTAGAAAAATCTAAAACCCACAGTACCAGGTCCAGAGCAAAGATGGCAGAGAAAAGGCAAGGGCTCACCTCTGCTCTCCCAAACGCCCCTCCAAATACCTTACAAATTCTGGAGCAGCAGAATCCACAAAAGGATAAGATGAAACAATTTTCCAACCCAAGACAACTTAGAAGGTCAGCAGGAAAACTCTGTCACAATAGGGTGAGAGTAGAGGTCAGTCCACTGAGAGTGGAGGGTCTAGCGCAAAGATCGGGCCTTAGCAAACCAGGAACAGGCCTTGGGAGCACCTGAATTAGCAGTGGCAGCAGCCACTTCAAGAGCTCTCAGTCCTCAGACAATAAAGGCATCAGACAACTGAGCAGCAGGAGATTACAGGCGTCCCTTTGCTAGCACTGGGTGTGGGCACAACTCTGCTGCATTGCCCATGGATCTGGGTCACAGTCCCAGGGCAAGGAAGACTACTAGCACATCAGAGCTTGCAAATGCAGGAGAACGGGGACCCTGGTCACAGTCCAGGGCAGAAAAGAGTGCTTGAGGTCACTCACAGACGAGAGCATGAGCCAGAAAAGTAGTAAACACACCTCTCCTTACATCATACCACCTTGGAAGAACTGAAAGCTTACAGACTCCCAGAATCAGCTCTGAAAACAGCTGCACAAAAACCTTGAAGCTTGGGAAAATGCACCCTCCATCCCATAAGCAGAGCCTCACTTTAGCATATAGTTAAAAGTCAAAAAATAGGCTGAGAAAAATAAGCAAAACACGGACAAAAAATTCTGACTATAGAAAGTTATTACACTAACAAGGAAGATCAAAATACACACTCAGAAGAAGACAACAAAGTCAAAACTGCTATATCCAAGGCCTCAAAGAAACTGGCCCCAGGCCACGGAAGAGCTCAAAAAAGATTTTAAAAATCAGAGAGGGAAAGGAAAAATTGGGAAAAGAAATGAGAGCGATGCAACAAAATCATGAAAAGAGTCAACTTGTTAAAGGAGGCACAAAAAATACTGAAGAAATGACACCTTAAGAAACAGAATAGGCCAAAAATCCAACAAAGAGAAGAATGCCTGGAAAACCAGAACTGGCCAAATGAAAAGAAATATGCAAAAATTCACTGAAGAGAAAAACTCTTTAAAAAAGCAGAATTGGGCAAATGGAAAAACTGACACAAAAATTCATTGAAGAAAAAAAATCCTTAAAAAGAACTGGCCACATGGAAAAGGAGGTACAAAAGCTCACTGAAGAAAATAATTTCTTAAAAGTTAGAATTGGCCAAGTGGAAGCTAACGACTTTACCAGACATCAAGAAACAATAAAACAAAATCAAAAGAATGAAAAAATATAAGAAAATATGAAATATCTCACTGGAAAAAACTACCTAGAAAACAGATCCAGAAAAGATAATTTTAAAATTATTAGACTACCCGAAAGCCATGACCAAAAAAAGAGCCTAGACATCATTTTTCAAGAAATTATCAACAGAAACTGCCCTGATGTTCTAGAACCAGAGGGTAAAATAGAAATTGAAAGAATCTACTGATCACCTCCTGAAAGAGATCTCAAAATGAAAACTCCCAGGGATATTATGGCCAAATTCCAGAGCTCCCAAGTCAAGGAGAAAATATTGGAAGCAGCCAGAAAGAAGCAATTCAAACATCACAGAACCATAGGCAGGTTAACACAAGACTTAGCAGTCTACATTAAAAAATTGGAAGGCTTGAAATAGGATATTCTGGAAGGCAAAGGACCTAGGATTACAACCAAGAATTACTTACCCAGCAAAAGTAAGCACAATCCTTCAGGGGAAAAAAATAGATATTCAATGAAATAGAAGACTTTCAAGCATTCCTACTGAAAAAACCAGAGCTGAACAGAAATTCTGACTTCCAAATATAAAACTCAAGAGAAGCATAAAAAGGTAAACAGTAAAGATAAATCATAAGGATTTCAATAAAGTTAAACTGTTTATATTCCTACATGGGAAAATAACACTAGTAACTACTAGAAAAAATTTCTCATTACTAAGTCAGTTAGAATGAGGGGTATGAGTTGAATATGATGGGATGACTATCGGAAAAAAATAAAATAAAATAGAAACCAGAGTCCTAGGCCTCTACTCTCACCTCTAAAAAAAAATTCACCTCATTAATCTGCCATTAGTTGAATACATACCCAATTGGTTTTCCTTCCTTATGGAACTGGTTTAGTATTCGTTCAACATCTTTATTGACTTTAAAATCCTTTCCATCGACTGCAAATGTACACCTGCCAAAACCAAAAACTTTCCATGAGCATGCTGATGGATATTTTTTTTTTAATTTATTATAAAGTCTATTTATTCCAGAAATCTCATGGCACTATCTCATAACTTTTTTTTAAATTTATTTTTATCTTTTGTTTTCACATTACCTTTCTTTCCAAGTATGTCTCTCCCCTCTCCCCCACTAATCCCCTTACAACTTAAAAAAAAAGGGGGGGTGAGGGAAGAAGTTCAGCAAAACTAATTAATATATCCAGAGTCTGACAATACATTCTAGGGGTTCTGAACCTGGAGGTCTGTGAACTTGTATTTTTTGTCCCCCATATTTTGACAACTATATTTCAATACAATTGGTTTCCTTCATAATCTCATGTAATTTTATCTATTTAAAAACATTATTCTGAGAATGGGCCCATGGGCTTCACCTGATTGCCAAAGGGGTCTGTTACACAAAAAAGGTTAAAGACCCCTGATATAAGAACCCTTCCACCTCTGCAAAGGAGAGCGAGAGGTTCATCTTCTGAACTCTTCTTCAGGACCACGTTTGGTCATTATAATTAAATAGCTTTCAATTTCACTTCTTTAAATCTATTTACATTGTTGTAGTCACTGTGTAAATACTATTTTCTTGGTTCTATTTAATCCAGTCCTCAATTTGTATTAAGCCTTCTCTAAATTCTACATATGCATCATTTCTTACAGCACAGTAATTTATTTAGCCCCTTCCCAATCAATGTGCATCTAGTTCATTTCAAATTTTTTGCTACCACAAAATGTGTTGCTATGAATATACTGGCATTTATGGAACCTTTCTTTCTCTCTCTGACCTCCTTGGAATATACATGTATAACAGTAGGAATTCTTGGTCAAAGGGTATAGACCCTATAGCCACTTCTTAAAAATAATTCCAAATCTTTCCAGAACAGCTGTGTTAATGCGCCTGTCTTTAACAGTCCCTCCAACATTGACTATTACCATCTTATGTCATCTTAGTCAATACACTGGGTGTGAGGCAAAACCTCAGGGTTATATTGATTTACATTTCTCTTAATACTAGTGATTCAGGGCAAGCTTTCATTTGGTTGGTAATGGTTTGCAATTCTTTTGAGAACTCTTTATTCATATCATCTGACTACCTGTTCATGAAGGAATGACTCCTGGATTTATATATTCCTGTTAATTGCCTATCTTGGATATCAGACCCCTATCAGAAATATCTGATGCAAAAATTTTTACCAATCATTAATTTCTAATCATCACCTACTTATCCTAGTTGCACTGATCTTATTAAAAAAGCAAAAGCTTTTCATTTTAATGTAATTAAAATTACTTATTTTGTTTGTCATCTTTCCTCAGTTAACTGAAATGTACTGAATCTGATTCTCTTCTAATTTTTCATTTGTGGTATGACTTTTAATATTCAAGCTGAATACCCATTTTGAGCTTACTATGGTATATAGTAGCACACTGGAAAGAGCCTCAGCTCCTGAGTCACAGAACCTGTATTCAAATCCTGCCTACAATACTTACTACCTGTGTGACTTTAGGTAAGTCACTTTACCTCCTAGGCCTCAGTTTCTGCATCTATAAAATGAGAGATTGAACTAGATGGCCTGTGAGGTCCCTTCATGCCCCAGACCCATGATGTGTGTAGTTCTAAACCTAATTTCTGCCAAACTCTTTCCAGTTTCCCCTACTAGTATCATCAATTTTTAAGAAATTCAAAGATGTATTTTAAAAGCAAGAAATATAATTTTAGGATGCCAAAGTTCTACTAGAATATAAGTTCCTCTGTGCCCAAAGAGCTATACAACTGTGCATACTCTTTGATCCTGCAGTACCTCTGCTAGATCTATATCCCAAAGATATATTAAAAAAAAAAAACCGGGGAGAGGGGAGGACCTATTTAAACAAAATATAACAGCTCTTTTTGTGGTGGCTAAGAACTGGAAATCAAAGGGATGACCACCAATTAGGGAATGGCTAAACAAGTTGTAGTATATGATTGTGATGGAATATTATTGTGCTATAAGAAATGATGAACAGGCTGACTTCAGAAAAACCTGGAAAGACTTACATGAACGGATGCAAAGTGAAGTGAATGAACCAAGAGAATGTTGTACACAGTAACAGCAATATTGTGAGATGAAGAATTGTGAACTTAGCTTTTCTCAGCAATACAATGATCCAAGATAATGCTATGATGAAGCATACTATCCTCCTCCAGAGAGAAAACTGAATTGTTTGAATAGAGACTGAAGCATGCTATTTTTCACTTTTTTTCATTCTTTTTCTTTTATTGTAGTCTTCTTATACAAAATGACTAATATGGAAATGTTTTACATGATTGCCCATGTATAACCTATATCTGATTGTGTGCCACCATTGGGAAAGGGAGAGAGGGAGGGATAGAATTTGAAACTCAAAACATAAAAAAAAAATTGTTTAAAAATTGTTTTAACATGTAATTGGGGAAAAAAATATATATTTTAAAAAAGAATATAAGTTCCTAAAATTGAAAAGAAGTCAAAAGAAGTGAAGCTCCATAAAGGCAGGAACTTTATTACTTTTTTTTCCTTTCTTTCTTTTTTTTTTTTTTTGGAGAGGCAATTGGGGTTAAGTGACTTGCCCAGGGTCACACAGCTAGTAAGTGTCTGAGGCCAGATTTGATCCCATGTCTTCCTGACTCCAGGGCCAGTGCTCTATCTATTGCACCAACTAGTTGCCCCCATAACTGTGTATCTGAGGTTTTTTTTGGGGAGAGGCAATCGGAGTTAAGGGACTTGCCCAGAGTCACACAGCTAGCAAATATCTGAGGCTGGATTTAAACTCAGGTCTTCCTTACTTCAGGGCCAGTGCTTCATCCACTGAGCCATCTAGCTGACCCTATGACTTTCTTTATATATGTATGCACAGCACTTAGCAAAGTATCTAGCTTACAATAAGCACTTAATAAATGCTTTTTGTTCATTCACTCATTTTATTTATCTGAGTGACTCTATTATACTCTCCACAACAGCTAACCCACCTCTTCTCTTCAAGCTCCCCAAACAATCTTCCACCTACCTCCTTTAGAAGATTTCCTCCCTTTCTATTCAACTGAGAAATCCTCTCCCTCATTTACCTCACTTTGTCTAAGTTCTCTTTTACCCCATTACACCTCCCTTGTATCATATTTACTTGGGTGATCTACCTCCCATGTAATATAAACCCCAAAGGGCAAGGGCTATTTTATTTTTGTCATTGTATCCCCAGTCCCCTAAAAATCAGCAAAATACTCACAGGTTTTTGGCAACTCCAAATCCCCCAGGAAAGATAACAGCATCATAGTCCTTTGAACTAAGTTTTGACAAGTCAGTAATCTTGCCTCGAGCAATCCTTGCTGATTCTACCAAAACATTCCTTGAAAAAAAAAAAATCACATATAAAAAAGAGGTCTGGAAAGTGGCACAGTATAGGCAAATAATATGATCTATACATTATTTTTTCTTTAAAAAAAAAACTGACAGAAGAATATCATTTTTAAGCTAGTTTTGCTAGAAATGCTAGCCAAGGAGAAGAGAGCACTAAAAAAGTGTAAATGACTTATATCTTACCCTAAAAAAATACAACAGTCATCAGCACCTGAGGAATTTTTATAAAAGCAAAATTAGCCAATAGTTTAAGTTAAAACTTCCATCTAACCAATTCCTTATCCTATCTAAAAACTGTTACAATCCAGAACTGCCTCCAGTGAAGTCCTCCTCCAAAGCTTCTCTGTGGTAGAGGTGACCCTGGATTCCCAAAGGCTAAACCAAGTTGGCTTCAAGTAAAAACTAAGGATGGTCATCAGAGGACCAGTTTAATTAAGCACAGACAAGCTATTCACCAGTCAGTCAACAGGCATTTATAAAGCACTTGCTATGGGCTAGACACATACAGTATTAGGGATATAAATAAAAATAAAAAATGCAAAAATATCTCTTGCCCTAAACAGGAGCTTACAGGTACATACAAGATATCTATAGGGCAGATGAATAGTAACCTGAGCTCCAGCAGATTCTTACAGAAGGTAGTGTTTAAGCTTAGTCTTAAAGGACATCAGGGATTCCGAGAGAGGGAGTAAGGAGGGAGAACATTCCAGTAATTGAGAAAAGACAGTAAAAATGCACAAAGATGGAGTGCTATGTGTGAGTACAGACAGCAAATAGGGCAACATACATATATATGTGGAGAGGAGCAACACGTAGAGTAAAAAGGCAGGAAGGAGCCAGGTTGTGAAGTGTTCTGAATGCTAAAGAACTTAGATCTATTTGATCCTAGAGGTAAAAGAGATACACTAAAGTTTACCGAGTAGCAGAGTTCTATCAATGCTTCAGGAAAATCATTTTGGCAGCTGTGTGAAGGATGGACTGGACTGAGGAAAGACAAAGTAGAAAGACTAACCAGAAAGCTATTGCAATAGTACAAAGGGATGAAGGTCTACACCAGAGTGGCAGCTGTGAGAGTGGAAAGGGATGTACATGAAAGATGCTGAGAAGGTAGAAACGACGAATAGGCAACAGACTAGATATGTGGCGAGAGTTAAAATTAAGAAGTCAAGGGTGACAACAAGGTTACCAACCTACATAACTGAGAGGACAGTGGTTTCCTCAACAGTAACAGGGAAGTTTAGAAGAGGGGTGGCTTAAGGGAAACAAAATAAGTTCAGTTTTGAAAATTCTGAGTTTAAGATGCATATGGGACATACAGTTCAAAATGTACAACAGACAGCTGTCAATCAATATGCATTTATTAAGCACCTACTACATATCAATCAACAAACATTTATTAAACATCTACTATGTGCCAGACACTGTGCTAAATGCTAGGGATAGAAAAAGACAGTCCCTGCCCTGCCAGGAGTTTACAATCTAATGGGAAAGAAACATGCAAACAAATGTATACAAAGCAAACTAGATTCAGGATAAAAAGGAAAAAATTAACAGAAAGAAGACACTAGAATTAAGAGGAACTGGGAAAAGCAGGATTTTAGATGGGACTTAAAGCCAGAGAGGTTAGTGCTCAGAGCAGAGGAGGGAAAGCATTCCAAGAACAGGGGATGGAGCAAATGCCTACAGCCCAGAAATAAAGTGTCCTGTTTGTGGGACAGCCAAGAGGGGTCACTGGACTGCAGAGTACATGTTGGGGAATAGGGTGTAAGAAGACTAGAAAGGCAGATAGGGGCTAAGTTATTAAGGGCTTTGATTGCCAAACAGAGCCAATGTAGTTTATTGGGGGAGGGGGGTAGAAGAAATAAGAGTTGGTGTTGACATGATTGGACCTGAGCTTTAGGAAAATCACTTTAGTGGTTTAATGGAAGATGGACTGCAGTGGGGAGTGACTTAAGGCAGACATGCCTCCCCTCCTTTCCACCCACCCAAGTAGGCTACAGCAATTACCTAAATGTGACGTGATAAGGGCCCGCACTAGAGTAGTGAAGTGTCTGAGGTGAAAAGGGACTGTATATAAGGCAGTGTCAGAGGTGAAAAGGGACTGTATATAAGGCACTGTAGAGGTCAGAAGAGAGACTAGAGTTGGATATATTGATCCAGGAATCATCTGCATAAAAATACCATCAAGTGAGAGAATACAGAGGAAAAACAGAAAAGGGTCAAGGACAAAGCTTTGGGAGATACCCACAGTTAGGTAGAGGATATAAAAAAGATAAAAATACATAAAAGGAAATTGAGACATATTAGTCAAACAGGTAGGAGAAGCAGCAAAAGAAAACAGTTTCAGAAGAACTCAGAGAAGAAAAAAATATATGGGAAGAGAAGGTAATCATCAGGGTCAAATTCAGCAGAGAGATCAAAAAACACAAGGATTGAGTGAGAGAGTATGATGGTCAGGTCATTTTGCTGGAGAAGACAGGAGGGGATGGCATCAAGAGTGAGGGACTGGCCTAATCAAGAAAGGCCATATCTTTGTCAGAGACCACAGTGAAGTAGGAAAGAATGGGGAAAGATGTCTGAGTGATAAGAGAAAGAGAAAAGAGGAAGCTCTCATCAAATGACCTTATTTTTTTTTAGGTGAAGCATAAAGTCCTCAGCTGAGAAAAAGTGTTCATGAAGATTGAAAAGACAGACAATTGTCAATGTGGTGAGGAGGACAGCAAATTGATTAGGGAGGTATAAAAGGACTGACTTGCTGAGTAAGGGCCCAATTGAGATTATATAACATAAATTTTTAGTGGACCCAATCATCAGTCTTGTGACTTTTCTCCAGTTCTGTTCAGCAGTACATGAATATTGATTGTTGATAGTGGGAGTAACCCAGGGTTGGGGTTACAGCAAGAAGACAAGGGATTCAGGAGCAGAAGTTGGCATAAAATCGAAATGGTCCACAACAAGGTCAAGATTAGAAAGGGAAGAGAGTGCAGGTAGTGCAGGGATGATAGCCTGGGAAAGAACAAAGAGGCAAAGAGATTGGAAGTCCTGGCAAGGAAGAATAGTCAGCAGTCATAAGATAAAGGGAAAGGTGGAATGACAAAAGGCCATATTCATATAAAGGAATAGAACCTTATTGTTATTTTATGTACCATCAGCAGTCATAAGACATAGGGAAAGACAGAATGACAAAAAGACTATGATCATACCAAAAAATTTCAGAATTTGTGAATGTGGAAGTAAAACATTCGTGGTAATAGTAAAATTAAAGGCACGACCATCTCTTTGAGGTAGCAGAAGTGGAATAAAGGAAAAGGTCACTGACACACACACGGACACACACACACATGGAATTCCCCTATTATAAGGGTAGGAGTTGAGGTAAAGAAAAAGAATGCAAGGCATTGAACTCACTGAGAAAAGGGAAAATAACTTGGAGGTAAGTAGATAACAGCTGCTAGGATTTGGACTGGGTGTTAAATTTGAATAATGTAAAACTCAAAGAAGGTGAAACTGCTCACCAGGAGCCAGAGGTTCAAAATCACTAGGATGGAGAGGATATAAGGCTCATTAAGGAACACAGGTGATTAGACAGTTCAAGATTTCTCTTACAGGCCAAGAAGGGAATAACAGGAAGTAGTATACACTGGAGAGATGGGAAGTCAGTCAGGAGGCAGGGGATAGAAATGAAAGCAAGTGTCTGAAAGGCTACTGTGAGGCAGGACTAGGGTAGACATGGTGATGGATCAGGGATCTGCTGGAAGCCAGGCTGAGTCTGTGTCTTTAAGGCCTACACTCACTGCCTTGAAACAATCTTTCATCACTAGTAAGTTAACTATCAAGTGATAACTTTTTGCAGCCACTGTGGTTCGGGAAGATTCTAATTTGTATCCCTGGAGGGGCCCACCTCACTGAAACACAATATCCCTCTGAATACCTAAGTCCATAGGAAGGCAATGTCGTGCAGTAGAAAGGGTGCTGAACTTGGCCACCACAGGAGCTGAATTCAAATCCTGATTGCTACTTACTACCTATAAGACCCTCAGCATGTCTCTCAACCTCTCTTGAGTCTCAGTTGTCTCCTCCATAAAATGAAAAGATTAGGCTAGATGACCACTAAGAAACCTTCCAGCTCTTGATCTATGGTCCTGTAACTAATTTACAAAATAGCCACAAAGTCACATAGTTTTGATTATTAATACCTTCCTTAAACGTCTGTGCCATTGAATCATATCCACAAACTAAAACCCCTAGAAATTCTCTGATAATTAGCTAATCTGATGTCTCGGAACATGGTACTCCATGTTGATTGCACTGGGACTCTGGTCAAAGCATCTCTAGCAAGTTCCATCAGAAATCCACACCAAGACTTGGAGAGCAGGCAATCTCAGAGATTAAAAGCAATAGGAAGATTCTGCAGACAACGCAGAGCTAGGGCCTCCAGCCCTTTGTTGGCTGGGGATCTGACTGCAGCATCGTTCACCTTCCCAACAGCCACACAGGAAGAATAGGAGAGAGCGACTAAGGTCTCACATCTCTGGCCCCGACCCAGCAACACTACCTCTCTAAGACTGAGAGTCTCATTAGTCATCTGCTAACCACAACCATCCTTATAACTAACAATCCCCTACCATGGAGATTCTTTCCTTTCTCCAGCAAGTTCAACACCGAGCTCATAATGCTCCTTTTCTCTCCAACTCCTGCCTTTATAATAAGGAACTTCTATACCCAAGGTGATATTCCTTTCAATTTCCCAACCTCCCAATTCCTCAATCTCCTTAAATCCCAAGACCTACTCCTTCACTCCACTTCAGCCATACACAGGGATGGCCAAACACTGCATCTCACCATGATAAACAATGCTTCCCTACTTCAATCAAAAACTCTGACATTCCTCTACATGAGCAGAACCTTCACTCTCCCTATTCCTCAACCCTCCAAAACGTATTCCTGACCTGAGTTTTCCAAACCCTCCAACTCTTTGACTTCACCTTCCTCCCTCCCTCTCAAACTCTGCCCTATAATTAGCCAATTCAAAGAAGACTGTCATCTACTCTTGAATTCACTCATCTTTTGCCATATCTCAGCCCTAAATTACTATCTGCTTCCTCTACTTCCATTCGTGTGCTTCTGAATGGTGCTGAAGAAGTCTTTCAATTGTGCTGACTGGTCATAAATTCACATTACACAAATTAAACTGAGCCCTCACTGCAGCAAGGCAACTCCTGGCTTTTACTTCAAATTACCTATTTTACTTCCCATAAAAACTATGCCAAACCTTCTCTTTCAAACCTCCCACAGTTCTCCTCCCCCTTCCACTCAGTAAAGGGCCCTGCCTCTTATTTTACTGAGAAAACTAAAGTCATTCACCATGAGCTCCTTCCTCTCTCCTCACCTCAAAACTCCTTGAAATTGTTCCCCACACTCTCATCCTTTCCCTAGTCTCTAACAATTAACGAGGTAGCCCTTTTCCTTGCCAATGATCCCATCCCTTCTTGTCTTTTCCAGAAGATTACCTGCACATTCAATTTTTTCTCTCTCCCTCCCCAGAGATAAGTGACCTCTCTCATTTCCAATCTCTAATGCCACTCTACTAAGGCCTTTCCTAGGCAACTGGTGGCACAGTGGATAGAGTAATGTAACTGAAGTCAGAAAAAATAAAGTTCAAATCCAGCCTCAGATACTTAATAGCTGTGTGACTGTTTGCCTTAGTTTACTCAATTGTACAACAGGGATAATGACAGCACCTACTTCACAGGGTTGTTGTGAGGATAAAATGATATTTGTAAAGCACCTGCATAGCCCCTGGCACACAGCAGGTGATATATAAATGCTTATTCCCTTCTCCCCCCATGAGCTCCCTGCAGGCAAGTCCTGTGTTTCATCTTTTTATCTACATCAGCACCTAACACAGCGCGTTGACAGATGCAACTGACACTAATTTAGTCATCATGTAAAGTTGAATATATTATCCAAAGTAGAACTCATTAAACCTTGCTGACTAACTATCCACATCCATGAAAAGCAAAGAACCTCTCCCTGTTCAGTTATTCAGTTGGGTTCAACTCTTCATGACTCTGTGGACCATACTGTCCATTGGCTTTCTTGGCAAAGATATTGGAGTAGCTTGCCATATTTCCTTCTCCAGTGAATTAAGGCAAACAGGTTGAGTGACTTGCCTAGGGTCACAAAGCTAATAAGTGTCTGAGACTACATTTGAACTCAAGTCTTACTTACCGTTGTTCATTCTCTGTTGGTTGTCCCTTGATATGATCAACAACATGCATCTGAGGAACATCAGGTGCATACATCTTAAATTCAGCACCTCCACGACTCAAGTGAACTAATATCCTGTGAGACAGAAGCTCAAATAAGGCTAAAAGCCTTAAAAAACAATTCCTAATGTTTAAATCTAAATTTAAATAGGATAGTGAAAAGAGCACTGGACTTAAAGTCAGGAAGACCTGAGTACAAATCAGCTCTGTGACCATGAACAAGTCACTTAACTTTCATTCATTTCCTTCCTCCTCTCTCTGGACTTTGCCACTATACCCAGCTGTCATCTAACCCTTGAACATCCTTCTACCATGCCAGCCCATTTTTTCCATTGGTGAATTCCTCCCAGGGCCTCCATGGGGGAAAATGGGGTTGCGAGGCTATCAAACTTCATTTTCCTCCTGGCCCTGCTTCTGGCTTTCCAGAATTAGATATCATGATCCTAACTCAGGGACTGTCCCTTCATCCTTCCTACCCCACCCCTTTTCAGATCCTTTTTGAGTGCTGTCTTCCCCCTTCTGAATGCAAGCTCCTTGATGGCAGGAGTTATTTTTCTTTATGCTTGTATTTGTATTCTCTGTACTTAGTACAGTGCATACAGTAAGTTCTTAATAAATGCTTGTAGTCTTGCCTTAACTCTAGAAGCCTCAGTTTCCTCATCTGTAAAATGAAGATATATCTATATTTATATCTACCCCACAAGCTTGTTTGGAGAATTAAATGAGATAATTATGAAAGCACTTTGCAAATCCTAAAAGTGCTATATAAATGACAGCTACCATTATTGCTTTTAAAATAGGCTTTTAACCAAAAGCTAAGTATGAATCCCAGGTGCACACTACTTGTCTACTTTGCTTTACTTTTGCTTTCAACAAATCCTTGTCGAATACAGGACTATTTACCTAACAATTTACCAACATTAGATTTAAAGGTATGTTACTAATAACAATACAAATCTCCATTATTCTAGTTCCTTGGGAGGGAAACTAGTGGGTAGTAGAGCTAAGATAAACTGAAAACTTATTTGTCCCAAAGTTCCCTGACACACTGCATTCACCAAGCAGCATATGGGAACTAGAAAGCTTTTAAGTCATATGTGTTATGTCAAATAAGGCTTTTCCTTAATTTTTCCCTTCTCATTCTTCCCCACTCACAGGTCTGACATATATCATACCCACATGGTGGTGACCTGATCACCCATAGGACTAGCAAGCTTCAATATCCTTCAGGTCACTACTAGGCTAGCACAGCTTCTCTCTAAATAGATGTTCTAGTTCTAGACCTTGACAAAATTACTGTAACAGAAAAAAATGTTGTTTCGGAACTTGAAGTGTAGTAATAATAAAAACAGCTGACAATTATGTAGGGATTTAGAGTCTGCAAAATACTATATGCTATATGTATATGTACCCACATACATATAACCTCTTATTTGAGTTTAATGACATACCTGTAAAGTAGGCATTATTATCACCATCCACAAGTAAGGATATTAAAATTTACAAAAGTGACTTGCCCATGGCCATAGTTAATAAATGTTAGAGGCAGGATTTGAACCAGTGTTTCTTAACCTAGGTCCAGCCTTCTTATCACTCTACCACAGGACCTACTGTAGTAAAGGAGAGATTTTATACAGAAAGAGGCTTACGCTGAGGCCTCATGAACTTCTGTGCCATCAAAGACACCACATCCAGAGAAAATCTGGGAAGAGAAAAGAAAGGCATTCATTCTACAAATTTTTGAGTATCTACTATGGCCAAGACAGTGGAAGTGAAAGTGACAAGAAAGTGCTTTGGTTTGGGTGTCTTGTGGGAATGAACGGTTGTGGAAGTCACCTTTAATACTTAGAGAGGGAATGAGATAGACAAGCAGGCTGGTGCAGTGTAAAGAGCACTAGACTTAGGACTGAGAAAACCCCTCAATCCCTGAAATAGTTCTGGCACTAGTTTTGTGATCCCCCCAGACTCTCTTTCCCCATCAGCAAAACAGTAATACTTAACCTTACAAAGCCCAGAGGAAAGCACTCAACAAAATCCATCCAAAATCCTTAACTTAAAGCTGAGCAGCAACGATTAGCAGTTGCCAAGCTGGAAACGTGGAGTTATTTTTTCCCTTCTAAGCTATATCATTGTCCTTCCTGAACATCGATTCTCCTTGGGGTGAAATAGGGATTTTACAGTCAGAAAACTAACAATTCTTTTCTGCTGTTTTCGTTTTGTTGTCGTTCTTTTCTTTGTATGCCCAGCACTTAGCACACTGAGACTTGTTGACTTGACTTGTTTGCCCAAACTCTAAGCTTTTTTTTTCCAGGCTGTTGCTACTAAAAAGGAAGATCTAGAGAAGATGACTAATAAAATTAACACTTCCCAGAATAGCAAAAAAAATTCTCAATTTCACTCATTTCTGCACTTTGCCACATCTGACCATATCTGACTGTCCTTTACCTTTGTAAATCAGTTACTGTCATTTTCACCTTTGCAAACCTGTGACTGCCCCTTTACCTTTGCACCTCCGTGGTGAGAGCGCCTGAAGCCTGGCAGACTCAGCTTCCGAGTTCAAATCTGTCCTCAGACACTTACTTACTAGCTGTGTGACCCTGGACAAGTCACTTAACTCTGTCTCAGTTTCCTCATCAGAAAATAAGCTGGAGAAGGAAATGGCAAAGCACTTCAGTATCTTTGCCAAGAAAACCCTAAATGGAGTCACGAGGAGTCAGACACAACTCAACGACTGTCCTTTACCTTTGTAAACTGGTGATTCTCTAAGTGCGATGGGAAGGGAGGCACATACAAAAATGGGGACCGAGGAGACGCGGGGGATGACAGCCACAAGGGCTCTAGAGATCGTGGGCTAGCCCTAACCCTCACGCATGGGAAGGATCGGAGGCCCAGGGAAAGGAAACGATCTGCCCAAGGTCAGAAGCCGGCTGGGGCCCAAGGCGGGTCTGACCCCACGCCCCTCCGCTACGCGGTCCTGGGGCTACCCCAGCGCCCCCCCGAGGGCTCGCGGGCGGCGGGCCAGCCTCCCTGTACGGGGGCAGCCCGTGCCCGGGGCCCGCAGGTCCTGGCGCCGCCTTACTCACGACAGCTACTTTGGGCCCGGGACACCGCGCGGAGCCATGAAAGGCGGCGAGGGGAAGGAGCTGCTGCCCGCCGTGCCTCAGCCAGGGCAGGCAGCGGGTGAGGACCGGCCTGGAGGCCGCCGCCGACCTCACAGAAAACATTGCTGGGCTGCTGTCGCCGGAGGGGCAGAAGACCAGTAGGCGGAAGTGGTGGCAGTTCCAGGTGTTGAAGGGCAGAGTGCCACGTGACCCTTACTTCCGGCCGCCCCGCCCCACCCTCGGGCGGATTGGTCATGTGAGCAAAGCAAGCCCCGATCCAGAGCCGCTCACGCGCTTGGCTGACTCACAGACCCAGAAGGCCTTCCTTTCCGGTAGGGGGCGGGGCTAACACTTTTGAGTGGCGGGAGAGTGGGAGGGAGGGAGGGAGGAGAGAAAATTGCTGTTTGGTGCCCTCTGGGGGCTGGAAGAACCGTAGCAAAGAAAATATTGCAATCCCCAACATCCTAAAAGGTCAACTTGCGGAATTCCTTCTGTGTTAATTACCTAAAACAACTCCCATACCCATTTGTTTCGTTTTTAACATTACAAACACAGACTGCTTCCACTCCCAGTGCAGTTTCTTATGACAAAATAAAAAAATTAAGTAAAATTAACAATAAACCTAACTGTGGGGTTTAAAACTTGAATGAGGTGATGGTGGCAACTTCAAATTTTGGAGGAGCAGTTATAGGAGCAAAAATTACTGTTCCATTCTTTGGATAGGTTGACCCTAAAGTGCTTTGGGCATAGTTCCCAACTGCTCTCCAGAATGGTTGGATCAGTTCACAACTCCAACAACAATGCATTAATGTTCCAATTTTCCCACCTCTTCTCCACCATTTATCATTTTCCTGTTTTGTCATGTTAGCCAATCAGTGTGATGTGGTACCTCACAGTTGTTTTGCCAATTCTACTTTTTATTAAGCCATTTTCTTTTTCAAAGCTATTGACTCTTTTTTCATTATTCTCTTGCATCACTCATTTCTTTTCCCAATTTTTCTTCTACCTCTCATATGACTTTTAAGACCCTTTTTGAGCTCTTCCCTGTCACCATAACTTTCTATGGTCAGATTCTTTTTTGTTGTTTTTTGCTCATCTTTTTTGGCCTTTTTTTCTTTTAAATTTAAACTCTGCTCCCAGGGTGGAAGGGGCATTGTTTCAGGCTTCTTGTTTCAGGGGCTGCAGGCCCTGGCTGTTTACCTGGTGCTGCACTGATGTTGCCCTGAGGTCCACGGGGGTCCCTCCTATCTGGTGATATGCTGAGGGGGTGAGGGGTGGCTGGTGCTATTGGAGGCTATGGGGGGAGGCAGGGTGTATAGCAGCTTACCTGGTGCTAAGCCAGGGTCCTAATGGTGGTCTGGCATGTGCTGAGGCCAGTGGGGCTATGCTATGCTGAAGCAGTGGCAGTTCTTGGGGCTAGAGTCCACCCATTCCTCTGGCTATTCTAGGCACATTGGGGGTGCTGGTGTTGGTATTTGCCTGCTCCATTGCACTGGAGTTCAGAATCACCTGGCTTGCTGAGGTAGGGCTTGCTGCTGGCTTGCTGGGATACTTCCTGTCCTGGACTGAGCTCCCCTTTTACTCAATTGAGACAAACCTTTCTTGCCAATCTCCCAAGTTTCTTGGGTTAAGATTGTTTCCCTCTGTCTTTTTGCTGGTTCTGGAGCTCCAAGATTTGTTTTGGGGGGCTATTTTATGGATGTTTGGAGGTGAATATGGGAGTTATAGCGATTTACTGCTTACTCCACCATCTTGGCTCCCAGAAGTCTAACTGTAACTCAACATTTAAAAATATGAATGTTAAATTTTTTTCAAATGCATTGGGAAATATTTAACAAAACAAAAAATCTTATAAATGATCTAGTGACCTTGTGTAAATCTATAATCTCTCAAACTGAAGTAAAAACAGGAAAACAATATAGACCTATCTGTAACTGTTATAATCCAGATGGCAGTAGGAAGACCCACTACCACTGAGGGTGTCCTGCTCCTTTCTTCCCTTACTGCCCCCTTTTCCAGGGATAGCCAGGCTGAGGGGAGACTCACCACCACCCTCCAAATCTCTTCCCATTGTCTAGGGCAGAACTTCTTAAACTTTTTCCACTCTCAATGACCCCTTTTCACATTTTTTTTAATTTAAAAAAAATTTTTTTGTTTGCAAGTGGGGTAAATGACTTGCCCAGGGTCACACAGCTAGTATGTGTCAAGTGTTTGGTCTGAGGTCACATTTGAACTCAGGTCCTCCTGACTTCAGGGCTGGTGCTCTATCCACTGAGCCACCTAGCTGCCCCTCCCTTTTTACATATCTGCAAGTTAGTTGGTATTATGTGGCCTGAGGGCGCATGCAAAGCAAAGTGCACAAGCTCTGTGTTCAGAACCAAGGCAGCAGTCAAATTGCATGGGCAAGCACTGCCAGAAACACCTCAGATTCTTTACACATTTGACTTTTAATTAATTTTTGGTTGTTGTACATTCAGAAACGTTTTACTGTTGCCAAAATTTTCCTGACCCCATATAGGGTAAACCCAGAGTTTAAGATGTGCTGGTCAGGGCAACTAGGTGGCACAGTGGATAGAGCACCGGCCTGAAGTCAGGAGGATCTGAGCTCAAATCTGGCCTCAGACCAAACACTTGACACTTACTAGCTGTGTAACCTTAGGCAAGTCACTTAACCCCAATTGCCTTAAAAAAAAAAAAAAAAAAAAGTGCTAGTTTAGGGAGCTTGACTACATACAGGGCTTAAATGAGTCAACAACTCCCATTTCCTCCAACAACATGGGAGGACAACCAGGCCTTACCACAGCATCCTAAGGTCTTTATCTCTGGTGTTACCTCTACACCTTGCCATTCCTTAGCACTGTTACCTGACCTTACATAATCCAAGGACTATTGGGCCATGCCGTGAGTTCCATTACCGTACTCTTAGACCTTTTGTTTTTTTCCATCCGCCCTGTAGTCAAGGGTGTGCTGGTAAATGTTTAACCACCAGGTCTCAAAAAAAAAATTTACCCAAGACACACTATTAAGTTTAATCTGCATTATTAACATTTTTCCATCACTTTCTTTAGCCTAGTTAACCAACAAAACAATAAATCAAGCCCTAATTTGTAGCATTTGCTGATTTCTGAAATGTAAAAGCTAAGAATGACAATTTAGCAATTGGCTCTAGTAATCTAGTTCCAGATGTCACCAACACTGCCTGCTGCTGAACCTTCTTTTTAGGTGCTGTCTCTCCCAGTTAATGTGAACACCTTGAGAGCAGGGAGTGTCTTGCTTTTTCTATTTGTATCCCCAATGCTTAGCATCATTCTTGTCACACAGTAAGCAATAAATGCTTTCTCATTCATATTCAATCTTTGGTGCCATTTCTATCTCTTCTATGAATGCCTCTGAGACTGCAATGTTAGGATCCAAGCGTGGTGAGAGTTTCACTATCTGTAACGGAGAAAAGTTTGTTCAGAATGGTTTTTGTCAGTTTTTGGTTTTTTTTTTTTTTCATTTTTCTTGTTTGTAGTCATCCCCCAGTTTTCATCCTTGAGTGTCCTTGGGATGACTTTGTTTAGCCGGTTATCTTGGCAAGTTTTCTTTTAACTGGTTTTACCTTCCACAATTTCTGCTTCAAGATAGTATTGCTCATAACCACCAAATGTTTAATTTATTGAATTCAATTGTTTAGAAAATCCGTTTCTTAAAATTTTCCAATTTATTATCACTATTTCCTCCCTGAAAAATACAAAGCCAATCTTCCAGGTGCCAACTCCCAAAGTATCTTTGAAAACAGCTATCATGTTACTTCTAACACATATCTAGTTCTTTCTGCCATTCTTCATGTGACATAATTTACAGACCCTTCAACATCTTGGTTTTCCTCCTTTGGATGAGTTCCATTTAATAATAGCAATTAATGTTTCCACAGTACTTTATATACATCATCTCATTTGATCCTCACATCATTCAGTAGGTGCTACCATTCCCATTTTACAGATAAGGAAAGTCAGTCTCAGAAAGGTTAAGTGATTTGTCCAGGAGTACACAGCTACTAAATGTTTTTGTAATTTGAACCCAAGTTTTCCTAGATTCAATACAAGGGAAAAAAAAAGACTGAGACTAAGGCTGACTTCACACAACTCTGCCTCACTGAAATGCAATTTATGAGCGACAAGTCAAAGAAAAAAAGAGTCCTAGGTCCAACATTGTATCTACTAAATTATGATCCTTTTTATAAAGTAGCATCCAGAACTGTAAGAATACTCTACATGTGGTAGGCAGCACAGTTTACAGTGAAATGATTACCTCTCTTGAGCTACACTTGTATTCATGTATACTAAGCTTGCATTACCAGTCACAATATATTGTTGTTGGCACTATATTCGTGGTGAAAACAAAGCCTGATAACTGTGAAGATTAAGTGTAACATGTGATTCCTATAAACTAAAAGGACTTAACTCTAGTTTACCAGCCTACTACTTCCTCCAGGATGTTACTAAACAGATTCTGTTTAGTGTTTAGGTTTGCAAAACTCCTGGCCACAAAAACCATTGATCATTTTTCTGAGAGGTCTTGTGCTTCTATTTCATCACTATTTTCTATGACTTCTGTGTTTCTATGAGCCACATAGAATAAGCCAAGTAACATCTGAGACAGTGATAGTTTTTTTTTCCCCTGACCTCACCCCAACGTGCCATCACAACTCTAATTCTCATTGTCTGATGTATCCTTCAACCTGCCACTTGAATTCTGTGCCCAACACTATGCACTGATTAAGCTTTTAAATGTTTTTCAAAGCCCCGGTTTCATAATTATTTTAACATGGATAATCTAAAAATATCTAAGAATACATCTTGAACAATAACACTGAAGAACCAAATCCTTCTAATAAGTTTGAAAAGAAAAACACACACAAATATAAGGCAGATTTTGCAAAGGTAAAGTTCCAATATTTATTTAGAGGGCAATTGTTTTTAGGGAACTTAATGTTCACTGAGTCAATTTAGGATATTAGATCTAGAGCTGGGTGGACCAATCCAACTTCCTCATTTTACCATTGGTGGTTAAGTGACCTGCCCCAGGTCACAGAGGCATTGACAGTCAAAATGCTAATAACCCAGGTCTTCTGACTCCAAATCCAGTGTTGGGTT